TTCTGATCCTCAAGCTAGCAGTTTTCCTGCCAAAACTTCCACGTGCTCGTGCACGAGTACCACGCGTAGTTGGAGGCTGAACCTGAAAATTATAAGTGCACTTGGGCGGGGACAACTGTTTAAAATTTCAGCCGTTCAGCTTCTCTAGCTCCCGAGTTTGCGATTTTCCCGTCAAAAATTATCACATGCTCGTACTTGAAAAGCACACACACCCGAGGGCTAAATTTGAAATCTTTCAGTTGTACTTGGAGGAAAATCCCTTTAATATTTCAGCTTTTCTGGCCCCCGAGTTAGCAATTTTCTCACCAAAACTTTCATGTGTTCGTACGCTGTGCTCACAAGTGCCCTGGGATGGCACTTGGCTGGGGAACCAACTGGCAAAATTTCGGCGCTGAAGCTTGTTCGATTGCTGAGTTGAAATACCCGGACGCACGCAAACATACACACATACGCACACCATGGGTCATTCTTGCATTTGCATGCATGCAAAAACGCATAAAAATGAGTCCATCGAGTTCTCGGACAAAAACGCGCGCATGGGAAAAACAAGCAGAACAGTTCAAAACAATCTGAACATGAAGACAAACAGAAGAAAAACAACAGGTTGGATAGCTTTCGCCAAATTACGAAATGTTTCTCTACAACAATGCAACAATACCGTCCGTGAACACGGCATCTTTTTTTATTCCCGAGTAGCCGCGAAGGAGCACGTGATATGACAGCACAGCATTCTCAGGGAGGCGCGGCCAATAAGATGCAGACGGCGCTATTAAGGCAGTGCATGCCAGAAAGAGCAGCTGGGCAGCTAACGGTAAACGAAGAAAGGTTGTTGCCGAACGTTAAACGAGCACTCGGGAAACGACCGGTGAAGTGAAGGGACCTACACGGACTTACTTCAAATGCGGCAAAACCAGAGCTGCAGCAACGGTAGCGAGAATGCAGCAATGGCCCAAATTCAGCCCATAGGTGACTGGGGACACGCTCTGGGCGCCTGCGACTGTAGCATGCAGTTCGAAACGAGGAAATGTGCTGAAGAGTGAGGACAGCACTGCGTGCTGAGCAGAGTGCAAAGAGAAGAAGCCTGGGTTGGGGAGGGGAGAGGGCGGGCAAAAGCATGCTCTCGGGAAAGGTTGCCGATGCGGGCCGCATCGCTGAGATCACAGAGCCTAAAATAACGGAGTGTAGAGCGGTCCCGTCCGGGGCGATCAACAAGGCACGAGCACAGACTGCGCACCGTTGATTGTCTTGTCAGATAAATTCATTTTTGTTTATATTTACGCCGCACGCAGGTCCACTGCGAATGATTTTTTTGTAAACACGTCACCTCCAATGAATGGCTGTCCAACCGACAACACTGAACTGGACTGAAATGAACTAACTTGACAGGTGTGGGTTGACGTAAATGACTTCGGGTTTGAGCTTGAGCTGAGTGCAGTGAGCAAGCTGAACCTTTTTCTGTTTTACTGGCTGCTCACCG